GCGACCGGGACTGCAGCGGGTGGGATGGTCAGCTCTGCACTGTGGACGGAAAGCTCTTTGTTATTCAGCAGACGAGTAAATTAGTGGAAAAATTGCTTCTGTAAGGATTGTCCGTTGGAACCCTTTACCAGTGTGAAACAGTTTAGCACCATTTGTGGAAAAATCACTGCAGACGCTGGTCATTGTTGGTTATGAGTTTTGTATTTTCAGCTGGCAGTTGGAGAGACCGCCATGTAACTGCAGTATCTGTTACTTTTCTTAACTGAATAACCCCAGAACCTCCAGATTTGATAGTTGAAGGAGATTCTACTAGGAAGAGCGGACTTTTTTAAAGTGGGTAAATCTTGCCCTGACCGGTTTGGCTCAGTGGATAGGGCGTCGGCCTGCGGACTGAAGGGTCCCAGGTTCGATTCCGGCCAAGGGCATGTACCTGGGTTGCGGGCACATCCCCAGTGGGGGGCGTGCAGGAGGCAGCTGATGGATGTTCTGCCATCGATGTTTCTGACTCTCTATCCCTCTCTCTTCCTCTCTATAAAAAATCAATAAAAATATATTTTAAAAAAATAAAGTGGGTAAATCTTAAAAGTCTTGCTCATTTTTAAATTTCACAGTTAAAAGCCTAATAAACATGAGCGTTTGCGAGTTTATAATCGTTCTCAGTAATGGTGCTATTGTCCCTCATGTTACTCAGTCCTCACTCTGTGGCTTGAAGCATATAACACTGTACTAGTTGGGGTGAAAGCTAAGGAGAGAGAGACCCTGTTTTCTTGGTTCCTAATTATACCACTTTAGCAAGATGGCCTGGCAATCGATAATAATCAGTACACCTGTCACATATGCATCTTGGCCACTTCCCAGCTGGCTCTTCTCCATCGGAGTGGTGTGTCTTGCAGGGCACTGTCTTTCACTTCAGGGATATGGAGATGGTAGTTTGTAACTCATAGAACTGGTAAATGCTCTTAGATACTTCACCATCTTAAAGATCCACTTCCCCAGTGTGAAAGGAAGTCCAAATGCCAGCATTAACAGGAGGTCATGGGGAGAAAAAAAGATAGATTTGAGACATACAGCAGGGTCAGCATAAAGTATGTTGAATAATTAAGAAGGGATAGACAATGTAAAAACACATCGTTTAGAAAATGCCATTTCAACAATTTTTTCTTCTAAGAAAGTGGTAAATAGCACAAGGCATTTAACTTCAGTAATAGCTCTCCAGGCAGAATAATGGGATTCAGGAACAAAGCATTTAGTTTGCCTTGAAATGAAAAACCTGGGTTCAAGTTCCTGCTCTAACATCCACAGTTCTGACCATGAACACCGGGAAAGGTACACACGGGTACTTTGGCCTGGCTCTCTGCCACTAATTTGATGAAGGGCTTCCTAATTCAAAATCCAATAAACGCTAGCAAGTCGTTTAAGACTCCAAGATAAATATCTTCATCTGTAAAGAAGGGAAATAATACCTACATATGAGCGCTATGAAAATTATAAGGCGCAGAGAACATTTTAGATATTATTGGAACCTCTTTTCCTCCTGAAAACTGATATTACACATCCTGGTATTCTTCCTCCTGCTTTGCATCTTCTCATTCTCGATAAATCAGTAAAAGTGCCCTTGACCTTTTGGGAGAGTATGAAAAAATAAGTAGCTCTTGTTTCAATTGTAGTTTCTGAGTGAATTAGTATTTAGTATTTTTGTCCACCTACTTTTTCAATGGAAATTTTTAAAAAATTGTTTTACTTTTTTTTTATATATATATATATTTTATTGATTTTTTACAGAGAAGAAGGGAGAGGGATAGAGAGTCAGAAACATCGATGAGAGAGAAACATCGATCAGCTGCTTCCTGCACACCTCCCACTGGGGATGTGCCCGAAACCAAGGTGCATGCCCTTGACTGGAACCGAACCTGGGACCCTTCAGTCCGCAGGCCGAAGCTCTATCCACTGAGCCAAACCGGTCAGGGCTGTTTTACTTTTTTAAAAGCATCCCATATAAACAGAAAATTAACAAAAATACCAAATCTTCTTAACCCTTGCTGCATTTATCTCAACCATGCTTTTTAAGAAATAAACATTAGCCCTAGCCGGCTTGACTCAGTGGATGGAGCGTCAGCCTGCGGTCTGAAGGGTCCCAGGTTCCATTCTGGCCAAGGGCACATGCCTGGGTTGTGGGCTCAATACCCAGTAGGGGGTGTACAGGAGGCAGCCGATCAATGATTCTCATCATTGATGTTTTATCTCTCTCTCCTTCTTCCTTCCTCTCTGAAACCAATAAAGAAATATATTTTTTTAAAAAGAAATAAAAATTATAGGCCAACTACATGCTTCTCCCTTCTCTGAACAGAAATACTGCCCTGAATTTTGTTTAAAACTCCCAAGTCTGTTTTTTAAACTTTTACTTTACGTGAATATATCCGTAAACCATACTTAGTATTGTTTTAAATTTTTCAAAAATTTACATACAAGATATACAATATGATGCCATCTAACTTAACTTTTTTTTGGCTCACCACTGTTTTGGAGGGTAATCCTCAATTCACTTGTTGCCAGCTTATTCGTTTTAGCTGTACAGCACTCCATTAAATGAATATGGCACAATTTATTTATTTTCATGTTACCTTTTATTTTCAAATTTCATTACTATAAACAATACTGTGATGAACATTCTGACACATCTCTCTGGCAAATGTGTAGGAATGTTTACAGGGTGAACTTGCTGGTTCATAAGAATGCACGTTTAATTTTAGTAAAAGAATATTGCCAAGTACCCTTATAATGACAATCAGTTTTACTCCCAGGGTCTGAAAGTTCCTGTGTTATCATTATTATTGCCAATATTTGATATTCAGACTTGTAAAATGTTACCAAATAGGTGGTATCTTGAGTTTGACCCTAGAGATCTTTGAGGAACAGAAGAGACCCCAGAAATCAACCCAAGCCATTATGATCAATTAATATTTGACAAAGGAGGCAAGAGCATACAATGGAGTCAAGACATTCTCTTCAATAAATTGTGTTGGGAAAATTGGACAGATACATGCAAGAAAATGAAACTAGACCACCAACTTACACCATCCACAAGAATAAACTCAAAATGGTTAGAGACTTAAAAGAAACTTAAATGTAAGACATGAAACCATAAAAATCCTAGAAGAAACCATAGGCAGCAAAATCTCAGATATCTCTCATAGCAATATGTTTATAGATACATCTCCTAGGGCAAGGAAAACAAAGAGAAAATAAACAAATGGGTCTACGCCAAAATAAAAAGCTTCTGCACAGCAAAAGAAACCACCATCAAACTGAAAAGGGAGCCCACAGTATGGGAGAACATATTTGGCAATAATACATCTGATAAAGGGTTAATATCCAAAATATATAAGGAATTCATACAACCTAACAAAAGAAAGACAAACAATCCAATTAAAAAATGGGCAAGCCCTAACTGGTTTGGCTCAGTGGATAGAGTGTCGGCCTGCGGACTGAAGGGTCCCAGGTTTGATTCCGGTCAAGGGCACGTACCTTGGCTGCGGGCACATCCCCAGTGGGGGGCGTGCAGGAGGCAGCTGATCGATGTTTCTCTCTCGATGCTTCTAATTCTCTATCCCTCTCCCTTCTTCTCTGTAAAAAATCAATAAAATATATTTTTTTAAAAATGGGCAAAGGACCTAAATAGACACTTCTCTAAAGCGGACATACAGATGGCCAAGACACATGAAAATATGCTCAGTCACTGATCATCAGAGAGATGCAAATTAAAATGACAATGAGGTATCACCTCATACCTGTCAGAATGGCTACCATCAACAAACCAACAAATGACAAGTGCTGGCAAGGATGTAAAGAAAAGGGAACTCTAGTACACTGCTGATGGGGATGCAGACTGATGCAGCCATTATGGAAAACAGTATGGAGTTTCCTTAAAAAATGAAATAATGGACCTGCCATTGATCCCACTTCTAGGAATATATCCTAAGAAACCTGAAACACCAATCAGAAAGAATGTATGCACTCCTATATTCATAGAAGCACAATTTACAATAGCTAAGATCTGGAAACAGCCCAAGTGCTCATCAGTAGATGAGTGGACAAGAAAGCTGTAGCACATTTGCACCATGGAATACTATGCAGCAGTAAAAAAGAAGTATATCTTACCCTTGGAGACAGCATGGAGGGACCTGCAGAGTATTATGCTAAGCGAAATAAGCCAGTCAGAGAAAAACGTGTCATGTGTTCTTACTCATATGTGGAATCTAATGAATAAAATAAACTGTTGTACAAAATAGATCCAGAGACATAGAAGCATGGAACAGACTGTCAAATCTCAGAGGGAAGGCAGAGGTGGGTAGAGGTCAACCAAAGAATTTGTATGCATATATGGTCACAGACAATAGGATGATGGAGGCTTGGGATGGGGATGGGCTAAAAGAGGTCAATGGGAGAAAAAAGGGGAAATATGTAATATTTTCAATAAAAAGATTTTTTTAAAAATATACTTTATTGATTTTTTACAGAGAGGAAGGGAGAGGGATGGAG